GTCCGGAGTATGACTACGTATTGCAGTCGAAGTTTGCAAGAAGTAGATGGTTCACTAGGGGCTGGACGCTGCAAGAGATGATCGCACCAAGAGAACTCAGGTTCTTCTCGCGGGATTGGAAAGCCATCGGCACCAAATATTACCTCAGGGAGTGCATCTCTAGCATCACGAAGGTTGACACCGAAGTGTTAAAGGACCCAAAGCTGTTATATTTCCGCAGCATTGCACGACGTATGTCATGGGCTGCCAAACGCCAAACCACCAGGCCTGAAGATATGGCATATTGCCTTCTGGGTATCTTCGATGTCAACATGCCGCTTCTCTATGGGGAACAGGAGAAATCCTTTAAAAGACTGCAGGAAGAAATCATGAAGGATTCTACTGATCATTCAATATTCGCTTTCAAGGGGATTGCTCAAAACCCTCTCATCAGCGAATACAGGACTCATGGACCCTTGGCAGAGCATCCATTTCAATTCATTGAATGCAGCAACAATGCCCCAATACCAAGTGCTTCTGGCAGCCCTCCATATTCAATGACCAACAAGGGCCTAGAGATAGAGGTCACCATGATGGAATCGGATGTCGACGAGTGGGGCTGTGCATTTGCGATGCTCGATTGCATCGATCAGGAACGAGGGAGTGCTTGTATCATTCCACTCGAGCCCATTTTTGGTACCCGGAACGAGTATTTCAGGGTTGTTGGCTTGAATTTTCGTCGAGATGAAACCTGGATTCGAAAATCCATACAAAGGATCTTCATCAGGAAGTTGACACCTCAGTCCAGCTTTTCCCCGGTTTCAGGAACGGCGGCCGTCTTCTCCGTGGACTTGCATCGTACACAATATCCAGAGCCGGAAATGTATATCTACCCTAGACCGGTAGGGTTCGCAGATCTCAGCTACATTATCCCGCGCAAAACATCCTCAAGAGATTGGCGATTTGGCATTTTACTCGTATTCCCAGTGGGACCTAAAGGAGATACGCCAGCAGCTCTTGTCGTCGGTGGCTATAAGGAGATGAAGCCTAGCACGAATCCAGAGGATTCTAAAGTTTGGCTCACATTTGATGGCAGTCCGTTGAATCAAATCTTGGATGATATCGTTCACGAATGCAACCTTTCATACCGCCCCTCTTGGAACGATACGCATTATGGACATCTTGGTCGTTACATTGATGCCTTCGATCCTGATAATCACAAACCGACCGTGGGATCCAGCTATTACTCCTTCTCGCATCCCATACAGCATCTAGATCGAGATGTAGAGGTTCAAATGGGTATTAGTGAGGTACAAAAAGCGGGCAAGAGTACACATTCATGGCCTAAACAATATAATGTGTGGGTCAGTATCGTCTTACGCAAAAGAACAATCCTGCAAAGCTTGCTACCCTCGCGGTCTTGAAAATTCAAAATTGGGGAATGGTCCCTGCAAGTTTGTTTTGATTACTGTCCTATTCCATAGGGAGATGAATTCTTAATTAAAATGACAGCTACGCAATATCAACCGGTTCATAATCATCCAAACTGCCTTCACAGACCCTGAATCCCGGGCGAATACCATACTGCTCGCGGAAACGGTTCTCCAGACTTGAGTGAACTCGGATGCGGAAGGAACGTTTCGGAAAAGCTTCCAGCACATATGATGGGATTACATGAGAGAGCGAAACCAGAAAATCTTCCACGTCTACCTTCGCGAGATGCGACAGGTACCAAGCTCCCATTTTTTCCCTCAATATCGGAGGAGAACCATCACCCCAACTCAGCGCAACCCTCAGATGCCGCAAACCCGTCATGCTATTAAGGATCTCACAGTAGCGCTCCCAGCCATCGTGTTTATCTGGAGGGTAGTTGTAATAAACTTCGTCAGTCTCACCAGTCTCACAGATTACCGGTATATCGAGCTCCAGGGTTCGGATAGCAGAGAAACACCGAGGAAGGAGGTTCTCAGATAAGTAGATTAGAGTGACTGCTTGCCGAAGATTAAACACATTATGCGAGTACATAAGTTCTAATGCTTCGGAGTATCTAGAAAATCACGTCAGTAACGAATAAGAATGACTAGCAACAATCATGCTAAAGGCATCTTACGCGGTGCGGCAGCTCAAAAGCAGAGGCAGTAACGTCTCCTCCCGGCGTACTTTGAACTTTAGGTCTCGCTCCTCATCTTTCTTCGAAAGCGAAAGTCGATAAGTTGAGCCATCCGTATGAGAAGCGCCCCAACACAGGTGCAAATAGCCCGCCCCCAATGGGACTTTGTCCGGCGGGTAAACGCAATGCATGTGGCCGAGCCTCTTGGGCATCGTCACAAGATGAACCGCTCGGCCAGACGAGGCAAGCACATACTCCCAAATTTGCACCCTGATCTCTGCCGGCAGGCGATAGAGCGGAGACTGTCTTTGGTGACTTTTGCGCTCAGTTTTGATAATTCTCCGCCGTTTCAAGCCGCATTTTAGCAGTCTCTCTGCCCTTTGCACTCTGCGCGGAGATTGTCGTACAGGCAAGACTTTTTGCTGGCAGCCAAACACCATTTGTTCCAGGACCTCGAAGTTAAATCAAGAGGGATTCTGAATCAGCCGCTCAAGGCGGGTAAGAGCATCCGTAGCCCTATCCACGACGCCTTCAAGAGTCTTTCTGATACATGATCACGAGCTCCCACATTGCTCGTAGAACGGCTACACCGCCCCCTTGCGTTTCCACTGTTCGACCCCGTCCCCGGTCATTCGGATCCGAACTCTCATTCTCGGCTGGCAACGAAGGATCAGCTCTTCGGTGCGGGAAGCCATCCCACGTCGTTCCCGTGCCGTGTGTCATCGAGTGTCGAGTGTCCTCGCTCTCCCCCACGACACCCTTCGGCACCCGCTCACTCAGTGGCTCGACATCTCGCCAATTCCAGCCCTCGTCCGCACCGACATCGGCAGCCCACCACATACCGAATCTTCCTCTCTCGTCTCTCGTGCGCATCGCCGCCCGCGCATTCCGCACGACCCACGGTGCATACTCAGCACAACTCTGGCGATGCAGCATGCGCGTCTCTTTGCTACCACCATACGTCTTCCCCGGCATCTTGGCGCGATCTGGCAGCGGTTCGCAAAAGAGCGTGAGATGGTGAAAGAAGATGCCCTTGAACGTCTGGCTGTCCTGGGTGCAGCTGCCACTGGCGTCGCAAGAATCCTCGAGGACACCAGCGCGCCCGAGACCGTACCATTTCCACCGCCCTTCCCAACCCGGTGGAAGGTGTGGCTCGTGGTAAAGGCGCCAGCCTGTGGCGGCTATGACGTTGCGGACAAGTTGATGGCCGTCGGTGAGGTAGGAAATGTTACCTGTAGCTTCCCACAGAGCACGGAGACCGGAGAGCAAAACGCCTTGGTTGTAGGTGTAGACTTCTTCAGAGCGCTCGTCGCATTCGCCGGTACCAATGGTGTCGTTGACGCCGTAATTTTTGATGTGAAACCCATCGACATAGAGTCCTTGATCGTTGGTCATGTTGCTGCGCTTGAGCCAGTCATAAGCTTCTACTGCGGCGCGAAGGAATGTACGATCATATGGGAGGATCTTCACTAATAGTTCCTCTTCTTCTTCTAAGGTTAGATTGACTGCGACTTGATCGAAAGCACCTGGAGGGGGCTTCTGTGGTTCCGAGAAGGGAGAGCTGATGTTGTCTCCTGGAAAGTAGAGATACATCCCAGCAGATGCCGCAATATATAGCTCGTTAGTGATGGCATTCTTGTACGGCAACATATGTGGATTCCACAACATGCCACCGCCGCACAATTGCGTGTCCCATCCGTGTTTCGCCAAATCGTAAAATATCCTTGCTCTGTGCGCAAATGCGGGCAGAAATTGTTCTCCGTACCACCTGTCTGATCCTCTTTCCTCTGTCTCTTGGCCCAAATTCTCCCAGTCGTAATGCGTCTGCGCATGTACTTGTACAAATTTGATCGCCTCAAGCCACCCAAGTACAACCCATAGCATATCATCAAATGCCTGCATTCGAATCGCAAACGCGTTCTCCCCAAAATAGTATCCAATCCCATGTGTGAAATATCTGTTTATCTCGTTCTCGATCCTCCACTTCTCCGCTACTGCTTTTATGTGAAGGTCTTCGAAGGATTGGGGCGACGTCGCTGGGAGAGAATACCCCAAGCTTCGTGTAAGGCTGTTCAATGCGGCCGATATGTATGTGCCCATCACGGCACCCGTCCAATCGATCGATTCGGGCCAAGTACCAAGCCATAGCTCGAAGTACCGCGTCTGCATAGTCTCGAGGGCATAGTGAAGGTCTTCGAGCGCCGTGAAGGGCAAGTCCGACGGAGTCTCCTCGTCATGATGTTCAAAAACATCCTGAGAAACTCCGCCCCGGTCTGGTATTTGGCCAGCAAGTCCAATTCGCGCATCGAGATCTGTTGAGCTCGAATTGCAGATGTTGGAGAGTTCGGAGCAAGTGTATACGCGGCAGGAGATGTAAGGACAGGACTGAAGGCGAGAGGAACCGCATAGAAATCCAAACGCCCAAAGTAAAACGAGAATCAATGCAGTCATCACATTTCGTCGGGACGGCGTTCTGTCAGCCCAAAATGGAGGTTGGTCGTCCGGCAGTCGTATGCGCGGCATGCTCGTGAGATCGTCTTCGTCTAGAGTATCCCGTTGAACGCCTACATCGGCGCAAACGCAGGAAAAACGAAGGACAAGATAGGACGTAAGGAAATCAAGACATTTGCAAGGATCGACAAGAAGAGTTACGGCTAAATGCCATCCAAAGAAAAGAAAATACGCTAATGATGATGAAGGATGAGGCTGAGGTTCCCTCACATGAAAATCCCCGCACCCGGAAGGCGGTAGCTTTGTCTCGTCCGTTCTGCCACCGCAGAACCACCTACAAATGAAGCCTTCAACGCAGGGTAATTACGACAAATAAGAAAGAGGCCTAAAAAAATTGGCCAAATAAAAAAGATATTGATGAGGGTGGGACCTGAAGTGCCGTTAGAAGGTTGTTAGATATCAGTGAGGACGGAATAGCTTACTCGAACCCACGCGGTTTTACCCACTAGTAAATTTCCTTTTCAAGGGAACCATTCCAGGTTTTCCTGAAACTAGCGCCATAACCACTCGGCCACCTCACCGGGCAAAAATCAGAGTCTCTGAAACCGTATTTTGAATATATAGTGTACTTCAGTAACAAAATTTAAGCTCGAATATCAGACGAAAAACAAACTCTAACTCCTACGTTTCCTCTTCCATTTTATGTTGTCGACCCTTTAAGTCGTAAAAGGTTCATTCCAGTGGTGATTTACTAATAGCGAGAGGCTATACGAGGTTTCTTTGCTATGGTATATGCTCACGGTTGAAGGTGGCCGTCGAAATGCTGTTGGATTGCGGATGAGACGCAACACACCGATTGAGCCACTCCATAACCATTGTTCAGTCCTTACACGGGCAAAGAGGAGCTCTATTAGCTTCCCTGCCATTTAATCTCTCGATATCGATTGTATTACAGTATTAGCTCTAGATAAACCCACTCTAACAAATCAACACGTTGACAGCTACAGCTCGGTTGTTCAATTCAATTAGCACTGATGACAGCTTCACAAATTTGCAGGCGTTCTAATAGAAGAGCCCGTTCCAACGAAATCTCCGACACCAATCGCAAATCTATGAAAGGTATTTCTACTTAATTAGCATGGACGTAATCACAATATCACCTCGACGAAAGACCACATATGCAGATGCAACGAAGGAATTCTCTGCTACTGCTGCCACAAGCATAGAAGATGGTACTGTACAATTTGAAAGAGACGCTCCAATTGCGTAGCTGCCAAAGAAGATGCTTCCATCACTCAAACAAAGCTCCATAGATGCTTAACGTACCGCAACTGCTCTGCCTAAAACTGACTGTAGGACCTCTATCGATTCTCTAGTGCAAGAGCAACTGGGGAAAGAATACCTGATAGTGGCATTGTGCAAGGTTCTAAGTCGAGCACGTGTGTATCAAGGGGAGGCCGCGTACAATTAAATGTGTGCTCGACCGGCGGGAGCAGGGACTGCTTTTCTCATCGGGAGATAGCAACCCCTATTTCACTCCGGCGCTCTAGCAATTGTCGAAGGCTGAGTGAACGGCAGAAATTTCCAAGTCCAGCACAGATATATCATGTAGACTCCACGAACTATCCAAAGAGTACTTGGGCAGCCGGAAATTTCGATAGTTTCTTGTTGAGCGACTTAGTGATTCGTGCCTCCACCAAACGCCCTGCAGGCTACAAAATGTCAAACGGTCAAATCTGTGAATTTTCTAAGTTCGCGCGATCGAATCAAAGAGCCCCTACACGGTAGCTAACGCGAGTTCCGCTACCATTAGATTAAGGGGATGTCTGGAGTCTGCGACTTAGAGGATGTGTCTTCACCAAAGCAAAGCCATAAAAGGGACGAACGGAAATATTTTAATGTCTTGGAAATCAATTGGGTATCCAAGTTCAATAACGCCAAGTAATGCCGCAGCCAGTCGATTCCTATTCCAATGCGCCTTTAGTAGCTCCAAAAATCACTTGCGATTATTGTCTCTCCATTCCGATCCGTTGCCAACACCTTGAACATGTCCATTACCCGCCTCTTCCGGGCCCAAGTCTGGGTCATCGTCGAAATCATCGTCCTCGAATGCCTGCGGATCCGTGAGTCCTTGCTCCTCTTCCCTCTTCTTACCGTTTCCATTTCCATTTTCATGTACACCGTCGTCCGCTGACACTGATATCCCTCTCGGTCCCCACGATCTTCCACTTTCCGCCTGGCCTTCATCAGCTGCCTCGGCACCATCCTCTTCGTCGAAACTTTGACGACCGCCCTTCCCAAGGAACCGGCGCACGAGAAGACCTTGTCGGAGATCGTCGCTATCCACGACGCCGCCATTCCGCAGCTTCACGCGCTGGCGCGTGTAATAGACGTATGCAAAGTCGACGTATAATGCAGTCTGGATGATTCCGAAAATTACGCTGATAGGGTCGAAATGGTGCGTCTTGCCCGCAAGCCGGACAATCCAATTGAGGATGTAGAAGCCGCGGTATGAGCCAAGCGCGAGCAAATAGTAGGAGTCTATAACCGTTGGAACGGTAGTCTGGCGGAGGAGTAAGAGTTGAGGGATAACGCAGACGGACTCAAGAATGATTGAGAAAGTCCAAACGATCTGTACCGCGCAACGTATAGTCAGCAACCCCAATTCTGTAAATCTAACCCAATTAACGCACCTGTGAGAACCTGAACCCGTACGGATTCTCCTTGGGAAAGCTCTGGAACATGGCGGCTACCGGGGTTGCCAATACCGCCGACACAAGCAGACAATATAATCCCAGTCTCCACGCCTTTTCTCTTTCCCTCGTCCGCGCATATACCCGCATCATTACAAAGACCACATATACTGAAGTCGTAACGTAGAAGACCTTGCCGAAGAAGTTGTAGATGAGGAGGAAGCGCTGGTCAGCATACGGGGAGGATTTCGAGACGAAGACCGGCGTCCAGAAGAGATCCATATATCGGGAGAGGAAGACGGCGATGTAGAATATCTGCGTTATTAAGGAGACGCCTATGAAGTTAGATGGTCCCATCATATAGTGGTAGGCAGCATACCTTCGGCGCTCCGGTTGGCGTGGATAGCCCATATCAGTATGACCTTCGACGAGACATGGGAGAGGTCGCCTAAAATGCGGAATACGTTCAAATGTCCAGATAAGAGACCCATTATGAGAAACGTCCCCGGGTATGATCGTACAGCAGAGGATAGTTGGGAGCTTGAAGCGTCGTGGCTTGCGCGGTCAAATGCTCCAGCTGTCTGAGGTGGACCCCGATTCCGGGGCACCATACCAATAATGGTGACAGAACGACATTTATTACTCCGTACATCCTGATATGTATTCCTTTTTTCAACATCGCTCAGAGTGCAAGCCATCGTACTTTGTTTGGTCCTGACTCTATTCTCGGGTTATCGGAGATGCCTATCACTATACCAATCAGAGAGGGTGTAGCACTCCGTTTACAGCTCATTTTGCCTGGCTTTGCAAAGACCAATTCAGTGACCCTCAGTTGACAAGATTCCCTTGACATTCACCCTCGCCTTCTATTACCAGCTCTTTGTCTTTCTGTGTCTCTTCCGTATTGCGATTCTAAAATCGGCTGAATGATACCTGGCCCTTGGGATAGCATTGTCCGTTTTCTTCTTGTCTATGCTATGTCCTTGACTGTTTGATATAGAGATTTTGTCAAGGATCTTTTTCACATCCTAAAAGAGCAGCAACAGAATCGTCAAGAATGTCTCTGGACGCAGGCCCTTAACGTACTTCCCGGCCGCTAATCAGAAAATACCGAGAAGAACAACTCTGGCAGCTGTGCAAAACGGATTGCACACCAGCAAATCACGACGGTATCGAGCTGTGCTCCCTGCTGTGAACAGCCTGGATAGATTTGCAGCGCTGGTATCATGCCTGACATGTTTTTGCACCAAATTGAGATACGGGCAACATCTCTATCCACTTGGGGCTCGTGCGAATAGACGACACTACCTGGTCTGAAAATGCAGATACGTGGGACATCACGATCGATTGCAGGCTCTATGCAAGAACACCATCAATGCAACGTATCTTTGCAGCATACGGTTTTGGACTTGTCTCTAATATCCGCAAAGAGTTTTTGATTCCGGCCGTATTTGCGACTGCCGCTGCCATTGGTCGAAGAGCCACTCAAAATCAGAGCCACATACCGGATATAATGCGCTTACTCATCGCATTTCAACGACGACATTCTTTAAGCGTCAAGTTGGGCGGATGCAAACGCGGAAATATACAGAAATGGCAGCCGAGCTGACGAGCTATTTTCCCCCTTTCGCCTAATCTCCTTCGCGAATCTCATGTCAATCGTTGGACGCATTTCCAAATCGCAATATTTCTTAAGTTGGCCCGAAATTATTCAGAAGTGTAACAAGATCGTCCGCCAATTGACCGTACCTTGGTGGCGACTATCTTTCTACCGATGTGAGATGCGTGAGATGCTAATTCGGAATGAGGAAGAAAGTTGAGTCTTGCAAAGATGTCAAGAAAGACGACATAATCTTTTTGCTATCGGGCTTTTGATTGGCCCCGTAAGTGGTATTAACGCAAAATGGACGCCAAGTAAGCCAGAAATTCGCAGATATTTGCAAATAACGACAGGCGTAAGCAAATATGGAGTACGCAGACCCTTTGTGGAAGGGCCGATGACCCGAGTGTTTGTGATACTTGCGACTACAAGACCAAACCGATTTTCGCGCGCTTAATCAAATTATCTTCTTCTGACACTCTCACAGTACCATAGGTCTTCTAAGCAAGAAAGATGCAGTCTCCTCTGACGGTCATCATAGTTGGGGGCGGCATTGGAGGTCTCTCGGCTGCAATTGCCCTTCGAGGCGCAGGACATTCAATTAAGGTATTTAAGCCTCTTCCGTGCGGATATATTTATCTCAACCTTAGACTTCTCGCTCAGATAATCGAACGCTCCTCTTTCCTCGACGAAGTCGGTGCGGCCGTTACGCTATTCCCAAATGCAGTTCGGATCTTAGACTCCTGGGGCCTCGACCATGCAAAGGCGCACTTCACCAAGTTTCGCGGTATCGGCGCTTTTTCCGCACAGACGCTGCAGGATCTGAGAGTCAAAGTCTTCACGGACTATGAGGCTAAATTTGGCACGCCTCGCGTTAATGCGCATCGTGTGGATCTTCACTCAGCGCTGAAAGAGCTGGCTACGACGGAAGATGGACCTGGCTCACCTGCAACGATTCAGTTGTCATGCCCTGTAGTCTCTTATGATGCCAAAAATGGTACTGTGAAGCTGGCAGATGGCTCAGAAGAAAGAGCAGATCTGATTATCGCGGCCGATGGTGTGCATTCACAGGCTGCAACTCATATCCTGGGATACAACGCCCCTGCCACCGTGTCACGAAGCACTGTCATCCGTTTTCTCATACCGACAGAAACGATCCTCAAAGATCCCTTAACGGAACCACTACTCGAAAGTGGCCCAGGATTCTGGAGCACGTACGCCGCTGCCGATAGGAAACGCTACATCGTGCGGTATCCATGCCGCGACGACACGCTGCAGAACTTCGGGA